TTTATTAAAATAATTATCTTTAATAAAAATAAGGAAATTATATTAAAAATTAATTATATATTAAGATAAGTATAATTTTTTTCATGCCAATATATTATACATTAAGTATAAAAATATATATGTATATAAATTACCATAATAATTACACCGAAAAAGGTAACAATATATAATTATTAGGTAATAATATTAATAATTAATTATTAAGGTAAGTATAACTTATTTTGTACTAATAATATTATCCATTATATATATATATATATATATATATATATATATATATATATATATATACTTTTAATTTTATATTGATAACCGTAGTCTATGTATATACTTTAAGAAAATATTCATTATTAAAGATTAAAGATGAGATATAATTTAAAAAGTAAGTTATTTATTAGATTACCTAATATAATTGTCTTACTAATTGATTCAATGCTACTATGTATAATTCATATATTTGAAAACTTTTTAAATCGAAATATCCATTAATTGCCTTAATAATTAAAATAATTGTTAGTCAATCAATATTCAATAGTACTAAAAGTATTATTTGAATTTTTATACATAAGATATAATATTATTAAATCGAAATAATTAAATAAAAATAATGTGTCCATATTACAAAAAAATTTATAATAGTAATTTTTATTGCATAATAGAATTTGGCAATTATTAAACATTGTTTATGGTAATTATTGTATGACTTTTAATACTAAAATTATTAGGTAGAATTTTTATAATTAAGGTATACTATTCTTAAGGTAAAATATTGCTTATATATGGTTTACCCGTATTAACCATCACTATATTAAATTAATAAATAATTCTTTTAATATAATATATTATTAAATCTAAACATATGATTAATATTTATTCAATATTATTACGGAAGTATTACAATTATAAATTTTACTCCGTATTAAATTTTAAATGGCTTAGCATATCGAAGCAAACATGGTAAGTCAATAACATTATTTTACATTAGTAAAGTGATTTTATATCAAGGAATGTCAAATGAAGAATAAAATCAAAATAATACTATATTGAAAAAAAAAAAAAAAGCCACAGTACTTAATCATTTTTTTCCTAAAAAAAAAAAATTAAATGGCAAGAAAAACGTCTTGAAGGGAAAGACAAACTACTCTCTTATTACAAAAAATGTACACTTTAAAAATGGAGAAATTGAATCGAAATAAAGTCCAATGCTTTGATATATTGACAACTAAAAAATGCTTTTAATTTCATTTTGGTTTTTATTGTATTCTTAGTATGGTTCCCTTTATAAGTCTATATATATTTACATATACACATAATTCGTCCCTCGATCATAAAACTTTATCATCTTGATGAGCAAGGAACTCTTTTGCTTCCCGATCAATCTTTCTAGATCTGTATCTTCTCCACAAAAAAAAAAAAAGACAAAAAAAAAATATATATCAACATGTTTTCTTATGAACCACTTTTGTTGTTTAAAAACCATAAAATACAAAAAAAATAAAAACAAAACAAAACCCAAAAAGAAGAAAAAAAACAGAAAAAACTAAGATGATGAAAACCTCACCAATGTAAATCACGTATCAACCTCAACTGTGGAAGATCACATGATGATTAGAAGTCTATTGCTTCCCGGTCAATCTTTCTAGATCCGTATAGTATCTTCTCCACAAAAATAGACCAAAAAAAAAAAGAATATATCAACATTTTTTCTTACGAACCACTTTTGTTGTTTAAAAATCAAAAAATACAAAAAAATAAAAACAAAACAAAACCCAAAAAGAAGAAAAAATAAAAGAAACTAAGATAATGAAAACCTCACCAGTGCAAATCACGTATCAACCTCAACTGTGGAAGATCACAGGATGATTAGAAGTCTATTGCTTCCCGATCAATCTTTCTAGATCCGTATCTTCTCTACAAAAATAGACAAAAAAAGAAAAGAATATATCAACATTTTTTCTTACGAACCACTTTTGTTGTTTAAAAATCAGAAAATACAAAAGAATAAAAACAAAACAAAACCCAAAAAGAATAAAAAATTAAAGAAACTAAGATAATGAAACCTCACCAGTGCAAATCACGTATCAACCTCAACTGTGGAAGATCACAGGATGATTAGCAAAAATCAATAAAATAATTAACCTTAGTTGGGGTTGTGTATGGTCATATAAGGTGTATTTATACACAATGGATGAGATCAAAAGGGTTTAGTATTGAAATTATAAAATGGTAAGAGATCTCAAGAAAGGTAAAATCTTTAATATTATTAAAATGCCATATTTGTCTAAATATTTGATATTGCAAAAATGCCTCTAAGTTTTGGGGGGAAAATTTGGCTAGGAGGATTTTACTTTTATATATATATAGATTTCTCATTTCTATTAGCTCAGTTTCACTTATTTATTTATTTATTTTTTTAATACCACAAAAGCCATTAAAATGTCTCACGTTTGCATCACATGTATAAAAATAACTAGCATTTTGTACGCGCGATGCGCGAAAAGTTATACCCAATATTAAAATATTTGTAAGTAACAAAATTTAAAAAATTAGTTAAAATTATATTTTACAATTTCTTAAATTGATAATACTTTTGAATTATCATATATTTGAATAATATAGTGATCAAAACAAAAAAAAAGTAAATTATACTTTTATATAATAATAATTTACAAATAATACTAAGCTAACACTCACATATTGATATGGATAAACAAATAATATACATACATATTTTATATATATATATATATATATATATATATATATATGTATGTATGTATATGGTACACATATATAATTTAACATTCATATAAATATTTAATTAAAATATAATTTATAATTAAATTAATTGTTATATGATAATTAAAAATAGGAAAAAGATATGATAGATGTAGGTGTATGGTAAGATTGGTAGATATATTACAAACTAACGGTGTTATAACGGTGTAAGGGTGATTTTGTCCAATGCAAATGAATGTACAACAATTAAAGCACAATGTATACATTTATTAGCATATAAAAAAAGAACAAAAATTAAGGACATAACTTGTATTGACACTTATTATGTTTTTAGATTAGAAAACAGTATATATATATTTTTGAATGAGGAAGAAAACCTTTTGGAGGTGTAATAATCAAATTAATAAACTGATTAATTTGATTGAAATTGGCTCCATAAAATTGTATATTTTCAAAAAGCAACGTCATATTTTGATGACGTACAAAGCTATTTATATAGGTATATATAGCATATTAGGAGTAATAATTATTGAGACAAAATCATATTCCGTAAATTGCAATTATAATCTGTTAAAGTTGGTGTGGCAAATTTCACCGGGTGTATATATTTATATATCCTTGAGTGATGTATTTGGAAAAGGTAGCTCGGGTTTAATCATTATGCTGTGCATCCGTATGCACCATGCATACGGATGCCAAAATGACGTCGTTTTATTAAAAAACGTGTTTCTTCTCTTTAAAAAAAATTCAGGTTCGATTCCCAACAACAACATTATATTGTTCATTCATTCTGGAATTTTAGTTCATAGATTATGGAAATATAGTTCATTGATTATGGAATTATAGTTCATCGATTATGGAATTGTAGTTCATCGATTCTGAAATTTTAATTTATAGATTATGGAATTTTAGTTCATTCATTCTGGATTTTTAGTTCATAGATTAGATTATGAAATTATAGTTCATCGATTATGGAATTATAGTTCATCGATTATGGAATTTTAGTTCATATGTTGTTGCTGGGAATCGGACCTGATTTTTTTTTTAAGGGGAGACGCGCGTTTTATTAAAACGACGTCGTTTTTACATCCGTATGCACCATGCATGGTGCATACGGATGCACAGCATAATTTGCCGCTCGGGTTAGTGATGACCGAAGGACGGAAGCCCCGAGCCCATAAAGGTTTTAGAGAGAGAGAGAGAGAGAGAACATAAAAAGTTCCCTTTCAAGGATGCCCGCGGAGTATTTATAGGGGATGTGAGGGAACACATGCCGAAGGCTCGGCACGCACGTCACTTGTCCTCCATGCACTCGGTGGTTTAGGTGGGAGAAGGTGTCCACGTGTCGAAGGATATCAAATTATCCAGCAATTATTGAGCTCGGCTTGAACATACGTGCTAATGTTTGCCTTTAGTAGCTGATTGGATGGGCTCAGGGCCCAGCTGATTGTCCAGGCCAGGACCGAGCACAAAAAGAGAGAGTATAGAAGCTTACTAAAGTAATAAAGGCGAGGACCTTGCGGTTGGGTCGACCATGAGATTCTATTCGAGCCGGATCATGTCAGTAAATAACCTTCACTACTTGTAGAGTCGGACCCGAACAGATGCTCAATACATATGAGTCAACAAGTCCGAGTATATTCCTTATCAAAAGTTGTTAATTAATAGGTGAAATAAGCAAAACATTTATCTCGAAAAAAAAAAAAAGTAGAGGGATAAATGGGGGGCTAAAACTATCACTTCAATACAAATTTGGAGAACTAATAATATTTTTAATTGAAGCATGTGTTCATTATCAACTAAAAATCTTAAATTGCATATTTATATTTATATATTTTATTTTATATGCTCAACAAAAAAAAAAAAGAAGGGATAGATTAAAATCAATAGCAATTATAAAAATCTATGTCTAAATCATTCAATGACAAAATCAATGTGACTTGATCACAACATTTTGACAAAGATTTATCCAATAAGAAAAATCACATAATAAATTAATAATCTTCACAATTCAATTTTTTTAAAAAAATAAAAATTCTTCACAATTAATGTCTTCTATTTAAAGATAGTAAAAGATTTTCTGATACATAATTTCTTTACCGTTTTTTCCAGATTTCAAGAAAGAAAAATGGCGATTTTAGGTCCTTTTATAGCTTCTCACAGATACCGCTCGTGAGGCATGATCTGTAGGGATTATATATATATATATATATATATATATATATATATATATATATATATATATATAGAGAGAGAGAGAGAGAGAGAGAGAGAGAGAGAGAGAGAGAAGCATAGAAATGATAGAATAATGGCATTCTAGTGCAATACACAAAGCTCGATCCACTTCTTCTTCTTCTTCCTCTGCGTCACAACATCTTCCCTGTATCTCCGGCCGCCATTAACGCCCAGATTCCTGCACCTTTCTGCTCCATTCAGTTTCTTCGGCGAATTTCTACTCTCTTCTGCTCGTTCCGGAACTCCAACTTAAAGCTTTCGTTTCGTATGTAATGCCGTTCTTCCGAGTTGCAATGGTTTTGTGATTTTGCTTTCTTCAGAGGTCGTATTAGCGTGTAGAGGTGAGCAGGATCGAGAATGTTGACCTGTATAGCTTGCTCGAAGCAGCTTAACACTGGATCTCTTCGCGAACCGGAAGAAGACGACGCCGTTACTACTCCCAGCACAAAGCAAGCCATCAAAGCCCTCACTGCTCAGGTATATGTATATTCCATTATTATTTATCAGTTTCTGGCATTTTTTTTAAAAATTTTATTTTATTAACATTTTGTTGTGGTGATTGTTAGATTAAGGATATGGCTGTAAAAGCTTCCGGTGCGTATAAGCACTGCAAGCCGTGTTCAAGAGGGTCAAACAATAGCCATAACCATAACCGGAACTACGCGGATTCCGAGACTGGGTTGTCTGCGTCGGAGAAGATTCATTGTGCGTATAGACGGACTGGGACTGGGACTGGGAGTGGGAGTGCGAATTCGACGCCGAGGGTATGGGGGAAGGAATTGGAGGCGGCGAGTAAAGGGGGGTATTTGAGCGGCGAAGGCACGCCGGCATCGGCGAGTGGGCGCACCGAGTCAGTGGTGTTCACGGAAGACGATGAGGCCAAGGAATGGGTTGCTCAGGTTGAGCCCGGGGTGCTCATAACCTTCGTTTCCTTGCCTCAAGGTGGGAATGATCTCAAGAGAATCCAATTCAGGTACTTTTAACAGTACTGCAAATCTGCAATATGCTTCCACTAGTAGAATTTGTGGCCCTTTTTGATTTTCTGAAAGTTCCTATTTGTTTGAGAATGATGGCAAGCTTTGTGGCTCATATGATCCTTGATGGGTCATTTTCTTTGGTTTTCTTGTGGTTTTTAATGACAGTAATGTGTAGTTCAATTAAATTGGCATGTGAGTCCACTCTGTGCTGCACTATCCCCCAAATTATAGTAGTGCCCAGTGGGGCTCAAAAGTGGGTCTTGTCCAAGGACTCACTACCTTATAAAATTCTCTTCATCTTTGTTACTTTCTAAACCAAATCACACCAATATAGCCCTATGGTATATGTATATGTATATTGTGTGAACTGCTTTTGAGTTTTGAAACATCCTATTTACATTATAACATATTTTAACACTCATGCTAACTTACATCTCATGTCATCATGTGCCTTTTGAAGTTATGACTGCAGGTGGACCCTGTTTATTTGAGCCATAAGCTGTTAAAATAATTGTGCCAAACCTTAAAAATTGAATAATTTGGCTATTCGCGACTCAAAATTAAAAAGTATTAGGGATCATTCAGTAGTACCAGCTGGAACTACTGGTAGAAATCATTTGATTGCTTTCATCTGGCATTCTGAATTCTGAATGGTGGTATTTGATAGTTTCATTAGATCCTCTTTTGGGTTTGCAGTGTGTGAGACATTAATGTTAGGGCTCCCCACATGTTGCTGAAATTAAATGGTTTCTTGGTACTTTTGGGGCACTGGTAACTGGTGAGTGAGAGTAAATGTAAGGTTATTGCACAGAAGAAATTGGATGAGATGACGGACAAAGAACACTGTTGGGGAAACATTGCACACATGGGTTTTGATGCTGCTCATTTCTTAGGTCTTTAATCCTTCCAACAGATACCTGATGATAGCAACAACAATCTACTGTAGCATAATGGATGAGTGTTTATTTGTCTTACCGCTAAATGGTTCCAACTATAACATGGGTATTTGTGGGCGAGGGTTAGCTCTTTCTCCCACAATATGCTAGTTTCAATGCTCAATGGAACTCAATGCCCATTCTTTTCCTTAATCACCTAAGAGATATTTCAGGCTCAACTGGATCAGCAAACTTCACATAAGAACTTGAGTGCAGTGTTATACATGTTCATCACTAGTCCAAACTATTTATACGTTAGCAACTTAAAGAATGTCAAGTGATTGTAATGTTTTATTTCCACTCGATATTTCATATTTAGGTAAACTTGTCATTGTTCTTATTTTGGTATAAAAGAAGCAAAAATTTGACTGTACCTGTCTTCTTTAAATAGCAATTTGACCTAATTCAATATCTTTATTAGATCTCTTGATTATCAAGTATAATATTTCACACATGAATGCTGCACTAGATTGTGAATGTTTTAATTGTGCCTGTGAAATCATCATGGTGAGTTCTGAATGGTGTTGGATAAATGAATTTTTTTTTTTAAAGGCAGTGTGCCAGTGTGGTCCAACTGAATATTTCATTAGTATTGATAACTAACATGCATAACCAGGAGAATTCCCTTAGCATACTGCTTTAGAAATGTGATAGTTGGATAAATCATTTTCTTTTGTTTTTTACTCAGTGTGGTCCAGCTGAATCTTTTATTAGTAGTGGTAACTAACATGCATAACCAGGAAGCATCCCTTAATAAAAATGTGATAGTTTATGATGGTGAAAAATTATCTTGATTATTACCATATGGATGGACACCGTAATTCAAGCTAAGCAGATGAATTTTATACATACATTGTTGAGAGTGTGACCATTGTTCAGAGAAGATTTACTATTATGTTTTAATGTGGCATTGCCTATAGACTATCTTTTTTTTTTTTTAAACAATAGACTATCCTTTCTAAGACTTCTACAAATTAGAAAATATGAAGTACTATTAAGCACAACAATTATTGGCTGTTTACATCTCAATTAATATACTTTGTTTTAGCATAAACATTGTTTACAACATTTCTATTTTTTTTTGTTCTAGCGCTGATTTAATTGCATTTACCTTTTTATGGTTCTATACACTCATTTTATAACAATGTTGCCTTTTGTTAGCCGAGAGATGTTTAACAAATGGCAAGCACAAAGATGGTGGGCAGAGAATTATGATAAGGTCATGGAATTGTACAATGTACAGAGGTTCAATCGCCAGGCTGCACCTCTGCCAACTCCACCAAAGTCTGATGATGAGGTGAGCTCTTCAATTCGTCATTATCAATATTGCCAGAAATGCCCCCCTGTTACTAGATCTGGTTTAGATTTGCATGTATCCAGTAGAATATTTTTTCAGGTGTAATGCAGATGCCATGCATTTTGTCCTGTTTTGTATAAAAAACATTCCAATACACATATTCTTTTGCATTTAAACAATGGTTGCTTTTTCCATCAGAACTCAAAAGTTGAATCTGTCGAAGGAAGCCCTGTGACCCCTCCTCTGAGCAAGGAACGTCTACCCCGCCACTTTAATCATCCAACCGGAAAGAGTTACTCCTCAGAGTCGTTGGAACATCATTCAATGCACTCTCATCATTGCAATGGCCTGGGTGGTCCAACTCCAAAGCTCTCCAACATCAGTGCCGCAAAAACTGAAACATCTTCAGTAGATGCTTCTGCAAGGAGCAGTTCATCTAGGGAGGTTGATCACTCAGGAGAGCTCTCAGTCAGTAACGCTAGTGACATGGAAACTGAATGGGTTGAGGAAGATGAGCCTGGAGTCTACATCACAATCAGAGCATTGCCAGGTGGCACTCGGGAGCTTAGACGTGTTAGGTTCAGGTCAGTGATTATATGTCCTTGCATGCTTTCAGCTTTCATTTCATAGTCTCGTGTACCCTCTTTTTTTTGCATGCGGTACAAATCCTTTTTTTTTTTTCTTAAAAAAATGATCTCATTTCAAATAACATCCCAAACACGCAATATTACCCTTTCATATTATAAATTGTTATACGTGATTTGGTATTTTAGCCACCAGTGGACACTTGGAATTTGAAAAGCATGCACTAGCATGTGATTCGGAGTCATGCTATTTTTATCTTTTTGTCCACATTACAAGAAATATAGTACTTAAGCCCACTTTTTGATTTTATTGTTTGGGACCATTCCCCATGTTCTTAACCTCTACACAAATCACAACTTTGTTTTGTCCAAGTGATGCAGTTACCCATGTTTCTTGTCTACTTATCAAGTAAAACAAAATTGCTTCTTCAAGGATTAAAAGTTTGCAAAAATTTCTTTCTCGTTTAATACTACACACTCTCATTTTTTACTCCTCGCTGACCTGACACTTCGATTCATCCAAAAAAAAGAAAAGGTCATAGTTTTTATTCCTTTTCTTTTTCTTTCTCTTATCATTCCCTTCCTTCTGTTGCAGCCGAGAAAGATTCGGAGAAATGCATGCAAGATTGTGGTGGGAAGAGAACAGAGCCAGGATCCAACAACAGTATTTATGACAAAGCGGTTGTTTGCATGAGATTGAGAACTTTTGCACTAAACCATACTTTTTTTTTTTTTTTTAATTTTTATCAGAAATAGATTTGAGTTCTGCAGTTGTGAGTCTGTTCATTCAGTGGCTTAACCTTTCATTGCCAGGCTCTCTCTTCTACGGAATTAGATTAAAGTTAATGGTTGGTGTGGTTGGGGGAGGGGCATATTGGAGTAGAAAGTGTTCTAATAAGTTTTTCATCATAGTCCATAAAAGACATGCATCTAATTGCAGGCATTTCTTGAATTTTTTGAAATAAAGTTTTTAATTTAGTGTATTTACTTACATGTCTTTCATTTCCTGAAAATTTAAATATTGATCCTCTTCTTTTCTTGGAAAATTAGATGAAGAAAAAGCTCATAAAGTTAATGGTTGGTGTGGTTGGGGGAGGGGCATATTGGAGTAGAACTGAGCCTCTGGTCTCCTCAATAAATGAGGAGACTTGAGGCAACAAAGTTAAAATAATTTTTTTTAATATTATATTAAGGGTGTCTTGAGGAACGGAATTCCTTTCCCCCAAAACGCGAAACCCAAACGCTGTTATATGTAGGCGCAGCGTTTAGGTTTCAGCTGTTCGGAGCAAAAACGCTACTTTATCAAATAGAAATTTTAACGTTTTGACTAAGTCAAAATTAACGGATTCGTCAATAATTAAACAAGGTCATTATTAATCACCTGATTGAATTCGACTCCCATCTTCCCAATAAACCAAAACAACAACTCTCGGTGACTTTAACCTTCCACTTCTTTTCTTTTTCTTCATCCAAACCAACCAAAACAAATTATGAGTATGAGACTCTAATATTAAATTTAATGATGTTGTGTTAGTTTTATTTTAACTCAGAATTAAAATACACATTTATGTTTTGTATATTCAAGGATGTTATGATCAAACTTTTATTATTATGTTAAAAGCTATAGTGGGTAGTAAAGGGGTAATTTTATTTTCTTATACCATCACATTTTTTTAGAGTCATAATGCTAAACTTGACCTTTAAATCTCCGTCCAACAGTCACTAGACCACCTAATGTTCGACTTGGTCCTTCATTGACTTTCGCCCAAAATCTGGTATCAACGTGAGGAATGATGAAGAAGATAATCTAATACTAAAAAGAAAAGAAAAAGATGGAGAAGTTTATGGCTACATTTAAACTGGCCAGCCATACATACATACATACATACATGTTGGTGATAATGAACCAAAATTGATTTTATATCCCAAAAATAATATTTATATATACACACACAAGTATATAAAATATTATTGGATATTTATCCGAAATATATATATACACACAAATATATATAAAACGGACTCAAGGGTTATATATACATGTATATCTACGAAAAAGATATACCAATATATATCAACCAAAAATTAGAACTAATAATCCTCAGATTATAATTCCAAGCCAACAAGAAAGAACGGATTTTTGCTTAGAGCATAATCCAAAACAAGAAAGGAGGAGAAGAAGAAAGAAAAGTATGAGTTAGGCAAAGTGTCTGTCTTTTCTTAAAACCTTATTTGCCACCTCCCAAAAGTGCTAGGAGCGTTGTGGCCTAGGTTTCCCAGGATAAAACGTACAACGGTTCGACGTTTGAGCACCCAAACGAACGAACCCGGCGAACAAGAGCACGGGCAAAATACAGCTACAAGAAAAGAGTAGGAGCAGAGTTTTTGAGAAGGAAAAATATGCTTAACTTTGTGTGTTGTGTCTCTCTCGTTCTTCCCTCTTTGTAAACCTGCTGCTCCTACACTAGCTTATATAGGAGGTTGTGTACTAAACAACATTTAAATTGACATTTAATCTGAAATTAAAATCAGATAAAAACTGTTGTAACAGCTGACCATTAATCTTGAGAATTAATCCTGAATTAATTCTCGTAATGGTCCAGGAGAAAGCAAACTGGTTATGGGAACCACACTGTTTTCGGGCTCAACTTTCGGCCACAAAAGCCGAAATCTACATGGTACCATGTAGGCCGAAACTTACTCAAAGTTTCGGCCACCACGGTCCTATGTAGGCCGAAACATCACCGTGTCTCCATGTTTCGGCCACTCAGGCCGAAACTTGCTGTTACTTCGGCCTAAGGCCGAACCCAGTGGTCTTACGCGTTGGAAAAATTGATCCCGAAGTATGGCATAACTTAGCCCGCAAGGCCAGCCAATTTCCAGACGACATTCGTGCACCTGCACGAGCTCGGGCTTGTATCAAGCCTTTTTGATCTCTTCTTGGGCTCGTGCACCTATATATGATCTTCAAAAATGTGCACTAGAAGACATAATAATGTGCAGAGGAAGGCACAACATTGTGCACTCGAAGGGAGAAACTGTGTGCTCTAAAAGAGACAACAATGTGCACTCGAAAAAAAAAAAATGTGCACTGAAAAATGCAGCGAAAAACAAAAAAAATAAAATAATAACTTACAGAAAAATACCATAATGCCCCTAAAGTTTTTAATATATTCTTTTTAAACTCTTTGATTTGAACTGAATCAATGAATGAAATTAAACTCTATTTTTTCACCTAAGAAAACTTTCGCGCGCACACACACACACACACACACACACACACACACACACACACACATATATATATATATATATATATATATATATATCATTGTTCATGTGAGTCTATTCCTTCCCATGAATTTGTGTGGACAGATATGAGCTATTGAATACTTGAGATTAATGGTTTAGATTTTATCAACTGTGCACTTCATTTGCATAATTTGCAAAATCTATACCATTGATCTATACAATTGGTTCAAATATATCTACACGGACTTATAGAATGGGATTTACTCATTTGATTATGAGTATATATATAAGTGGTTAATATCTAGTTTTGGAGTAGATACGTGGCGTGGCGGCCAGATGACAGACATGAGTCATGAATATATACAAGAAGGTAGGATTCCCTTTAAATCCTTGCCCCCCCCCCCCCTCCCCCCGGGGTCCAATTTCAATGCTCTCTCTAACTCACAACAACGTTTCATATGTCAATTCAAATCTACTCTCCACTCTCCACTCTCCACTAATATCATATGTGCACATCAACACTATTGTTATTCTCTCTCTACTGCTCCACAATTCGACTTTACAACATAACTGTGTTCAATCCGTATCAAAATTGTATTCTTAGTTTAGGGTTATAATAATATTTCATATTGTTGAAGCTAGGATCCAAAACTTAATAATCAATCTATTGTGTAATGAAACTTCAATATATTTTGTCTAGTCTAACGATAATCGAACAAAACATATAAACTCCTGGCCCCTGGGACACTAAATTGTTCGGCCACTTTAAGCTCAACATAGTAAGGGTCAAAAGTTTAATACATGTAATATTTGATATTTCACAAACATTCCAAAACTTTCACAAATTATAAAATGAATTGTAACTTGTAATCTTTAAACTTGTGTGCAATATATAAATACACTAAAACAACTCTTAGCAAACTATAGTTATTACATACACATATTTGTATTCTTCTCCCAAAAGGTTAAATCCTCAATCCTAAGGGTCCCCACGCCTCAGTCCAACAAAATATAGTTTCTCTCAGCTCGGAAAGTAAAATAAATATCATAAATAATTAAGTATCATGTCTCAAATACTATGGTTCTCAACATTGATGATTGATGATTCCATGATTCCATGATGTGAAGTGAATGGAATCTCTCTTTGCTTTCGCGTCTTGATTTGACCTCCCATGAGATTACAAAGCTATGCGTGTGAATATTTATATAGAGAGGGGTTTAATTTTTTTTTATTTTCTTTTGTTCTCTTTCTCCTATTTCTTTATAATTTGACAAAAACCCTTCAAGAATCAGGCTGGGATATAGTGGACCCACACACACACGCATGCCTTAGATGAAAAGATGGATCCCATTATCAATTGCATGCCTTTAATTTGCTTCTTCAACCCTATAATATATATATAGGGAGCGTTATGCTTTGCAACCAATTGTGTGCACCATATCGCAAAAACGACGTCGTTTTGACATCTGATTTTAAAAAAATAAAAAATTCAGAATTACATAACTACACATTCATAATTTCATAACTATACATTCAGAATTGCATAACTACACATCCATAACTTCATAATTATACATTCAGAAGTGCATAACTACACACCCATAACTTCATAACTATAAATTCAGAATTGCATAACTACACATCCATAACTTCATAATTATACATTCAGAAGTGCATAACTACACACTCATAACTTCATAACTATACATTCAGAATTGCATAACTACACATCCATAATTTCATAACTATAAATTCAGAATTGCATAACTACACACCAATAACTTCATAACTATACATTCAGAATTGCATGCATAACAACACATCCATAACTTCATAACTATACATTCAGAATTGCATGCATAACAACACATCCATAACTTCATAACTATACATTCAGAATTGCATGCATAATTACACATCCATAACTTCATAACTATAAATCCAGAATTACATAACTATACATCCATAATTTCATAACTATAAATCCAGAATGTAAAATTATAAAATTATAAACATATGTTTACGTATCTAACGGCAATCAAAAATGAACTTTTTTTTATTTAAGTAAAACAACGCCGTTTTTACATCCGTGTGCACCATGCATGATGCACATCATAATTTGCCTATATATATATATATATATATATATATATATATATATATATATATATATATTCCCCCTAACTCCTACTAACTTCAATCACCCTACCTACCTATCTACATATTATTCGATCTCCCATTTTCTTCTTCTTCTTCTTCTTGTAGTATGTCCATGCTAGCTTGCTTTGATGCAACTTTTGTCTTCGCGTGGCTTTTATCCGCTCTAATTCCATTTCAACTAAAATTTTAAGATTGCATATTTTATATTTTATCGTTTTTGCCTGATTGTAAAGAGATTATTATCATAGTGCTATGCATACAAGAAGAGATATTCAAAACTAACCAAGTTCATATTTAGAGCAACTTTGAGTCTAACGAGAATTATTCAGATTCTCAGTAGTTTCGCCGGCGGGCAGGTTGGCGATTTTCTTGAACTCTCTCTTCACCGTTAAAAAGACGAAATCGGGTTCCATTTCCGGCGTGGGCAGGAGGGAAAGATCGGAAACTGCGTCCGCATGCTCCTCTGCTTCGTCTTTCTCGCGATCTTGTTTGAGTAAACACACACCATCTTCACGGATCAACAACGCCGGAAAAAGAACGGTGACATTTTTTCCGGTGAGTGTGATTATCGG